CCCCACCCGACGGGGCCACACGAAGAGCAGCTCGCGAGCCTCTGCGTTCCAACCAGCGCCTGAAGCCGAATCCAACTTTGGCGGAGAGGTTGCCTTTCCGCTGACCAAGCCGGAGACTAAGGAAGGCACTACAGCAGCACACTCCCTTGTCCGCGTCCACCAACTACTTGCAGCCGCGTCCGTGATCGCCCCGTGCTCCTCCCAACTTTCCGAACTGGAGTTGGCAGATCCAGTAGACTGTCGCCTACCTTCATCACCGCTACCATCGGCAGAGTCAACAGACCGTCGATCTTCACCAGAAAGACTGGATCTAGCCTTGGTCACAGTTTTCTGATTTCCTGGACCGCTGAGCTGCTGTCGGAGCCACTTGGCGTTGTTCTGTTTGAACGCATGAGCCTTGGGCGGGCGCTGAGGCGGTTGGGGTCCTGATGCGTCAGAACGAGGTACAGATCTACGGCTAACATGTTGAACGACAAGGCCAGGATCACCCTGGAGATACCTTCTTTCAAACCCCGTATCATGCCCACTGGCTTCGGAGCTGGAGTGCAAAAGAGCAGGGGACGCATGGGGGCCAGCTGTGCAGGAGAGAGGATGAACGGGCACGCCGCGGCGAGACTCCAGACGAAAGGGTTGCTTCACGCATGGACAGTAAACAAGGGGATCGCAGTCGCAAAGGCAAAGCTCTTCTGGTTTCTAATGTCGCAACACCCACACGTAGTCGCACTGGCTGCTGGACACAATGACGATGACGCCGACGGCTCACGTGCAGAAGCCCAATGCCACGCACATGTGTCCTTGCAATCACTGAAGAAGTATGTCAGCTAGGAGTTTCGCAAACGATCAAAATAAAGATGCTGTCACCCCTGAACAAAACATCACACATCCGCGGTGCATCGGCGTGGAAGGTATTTGCGCCCCTGGGCAGATTCGCTCGGATGTCCAAAAACCACGGACGCATCCCCGCACGGACTGGCCTGCTTGGGCCCGCGCTCCTCTTCTGCCCGCGACGACGGAGCAGCCCCTGGACACGCTCGTTCATGTACAGTCAAAAACCCTAATAAGGACGCGCGGCAAGGACGCAAGACCCTTGGAAGCCGAAGTTGAGATTTTGCTAGAGCAAGGAAGAGCAAGGAAGAGTAAGGAAGAACAAGGGTACCCTGAGCAAAATCGCGCGTCCTTATTAAGGTTTTTGACTGTAATGAACCCTCAAGCAGTGCTTGCACTTGAGGTTCTTGCTTCGGCTCCTAGGTTAGGGAGCCCACCAAAGACGTACGCGCCCAACTATGTACGCCTCGATTCGCGAGACCGGCCGCGTTGTACGAACATTTGTGCAGTGCGTGCTCTGGACACTGGCGTGGATTCATCATGTACATGTACGTCTTCCTTTCGCTCCTCCTCCTCCTCCTCCTCCTCAACCTCCTCCTCCTCCTCCTGATAAATGGTTGCCAGGGTTCGGGGGAGGCTTCGCTTCCGTCGCCGCCCGTGGGCACCTCGCAGGCGCCCCCGTGCGCTGGCCAGGGCTCCGCCCTCGCCAGCCACGAGGGCGCCTCGTGGGCGCCGCGCGCGCCAACGGAGCCCGGGGAGGCCTCGCCCTCGCGGCTGCCCCGCGGGAGCCTCGTGGGCACCCCGTGCGCTGACTGCACACAGGGGAGGGTAGGTGCGTCGACCGTGGTTCATTAACAAGGAATGATAAGCCTAGGTTCATTATCTTCAGATGATACCCTGTGGTTTATTGTCCTGTGGATGGATCAAGCTGAGTCCCCCCCCGGCTGAATCATTATCTTTCCGGAATAATCAACCGAAGATTATTATTCCAACATCATGGACCACGGTTCATTTCAATCCGGTCACTACTCTCGAACACCCCCCCCCGGGCTGAATCATTATCATTCCATAATAATTAACCCGGGGTCAATATTCCGGAAACATTAGGAACCCAGGTTTATTATCTCCTGCTGATAATGAACCTGGGTCAATATGCCAACATGAAAAACCTGGTGCGGCACCCGGGCGTTGGGGGGAAAATAAACCAATTATTATCATTCCGGAATTACAAAAACCGGGCTCATTATTCCCGGGACATTATGAACCCTGGTCATTATTCCCAGAACATTATAAACCCAGGTTAACATCTTTTTGGGATCGGTATGCCCAGAACATTATAAACCAGGGTTTATAATGTTCCGGGGGGAACATTATGAACCCCAATCAATATTTCCAGAACATTAAAACCCAAGTTCATAATGTTCCGGGGGAGACATTATGAACCCTGGTCAATAATCCCGGAACATTATAAACCCAGGTTAATATCTATGTGGGATCCATCCTGACACAGGGAGCCCACAAAGGACGTACGCGCCCAACTATGTACATGAACACGGCCCCTCGATCCGCGAGACCGGCCGCGTTATACGAGCATTTGCGCAATGCGTACTCTCGGAACCAGCGTGGATTCATGTACATGTACGTCCTTCTTTCGCTCCTGATGCACATAGATTCTCGTTTCTTACAAAAGAAAAGACCCTACCCCCCCCCCCCCTCCCCCTCCTGGAGTTAACGCTCCACCGCTTCGTATTGCAATTCACATAGGATGCTGCCCCAACGTCCATCCTAAACATGAACTCATACTGTCCCAGCCAGGCCGGTACCACTCTCCCCCGCCATCCTCTGGGAAAAACACGAGGCGCGCGCACTCGTGCATCAAAAATCATAAGTGTTCAAGAATCCCTTTCAAAAAATGAAACGAAGTGCACACGCGCGCCCCGTCGCGCGCGCGTGCCGAAATCCTTCCAAAACCTTCGGCTTCGGAAGGACTTCAAAATCGAGTTTCAAAAAAAAAAAACATACAAAAACTCAGGGTGTCGCAACACTGATTTATATATATAATATATATATATATGTATTTTTTTTTTTGAAAAAAAAAAAAAAAAAAAAAAAAAAAAAAAAAAAAAAAAAAAAAAAAAAAAAAAAAAAAAAAAAAAAAACGCGCTTCTGCGAAATCTTAAGATAACCATTTGTTTTTCAATATTTCCAGAAATCAAAAAAATAAAAAAACGGGCTTCGCGCGTGCGCATGTCGAAATTTGTCGAACGCCCTTGCGCGCGTGCCGTCGCGAGAATCCTCTGCAAAAAAAATGACGGAACGCACGCGCGCGCGCGCGTCGTCGCGCGCGCATGCCGGAATCCTTCAAAAACCTCCGGTTTCGGAAGGATTTCAAAATCGAGTGCCTAAAAAACATACAAAAACACATTGTTTTGCAACACGGATTTTCAACAAAAGCGTGCGCGCGCGCTCTTGCGTCGTCGTCGTCGTCGTCGCCGTCCTCCCTCCTCCCTCGTCGTCGTCGTCGTCGTCGCCGTCGTCGTCCTCTGTTTCCTCGTCGTCGTCGTCCTCTTTGGCGTCGTCGTCGTTTCCGTCGTCGTTATCGCCGTGGTCGTCCTTCCTCTTCCCTCGACGTCGTCGTCCGTCGTCAGCGACTCGTCGTCGTCCCTCCTATTTCGTCGCTGTCGTCGTCGTCGTCGTCTTCCCTCCTCCCTCGTCGTTGTCTTCGTCGGCGTCGCCGTCCTCCCTCCTTATTCGTCGTTCGCGTCGTCGCCGTCCTCCCTCCTCCCTCGTCGCCGTCGTCGTTGTCGCCGTCGTCGTCCTCCCTCCTCCCTCGTCGCCGTCGTCTTCGTTTGCGGCGTAGTCGTCGTTGTTTTCGGCGTCTTCGTCGTCGTCGTCGGCGTTGTCATTGTCGTCGTCGTCGGCGTCGTCGTCGTCGGTGTCGTCATCGTCGTCGTTGTTGTCTCGTCGTCGAAGTCGTTGGAGACGTCGTCGGTGTCGTCGTAGTCCGTGTCGGCGGCGTCGTCGTCGTCAATGTCGCTGTCGTCGTCGGCGTCGGTGTCGTTGCCAAGTGCAATTTGGCACCTACGGTCACGGTCTTGGTCTTGCGACCAAAATGCGGGCGGGAGGGTGGGATGTTTGCACGAGCAGTGGAGAGGACAGCTTCAAGACAGTCAAAGTGAATTGCACCACATAGGTTGTACCACATAGCATGCTTTACAGAGATCGCACCGCATAGATTGCCTCACACAGGTTGCGCATCATGGCCTGCACCACGTAGGTTGCACCATCCAGATTGCACCACCTGCATTGCGCCGCGTAGAATGCACCACATATATTGCGCAACCAATGTTCCACCACAACTTATACACATCCAAAGTGCAAGAATGCACCGTTTGGGGCCCACGCTGGTGAAAAGGACGGCATGCTTGTATGACAAAAAACCATGTGTAGACCCACAGGCTGTACACCTAAATACATAGCTATACACATAAAGTTTTAGATATATAGATATACACGCATGTGTATATGTGTATATATACACACACACCTGGGTGCGCGGGCATAGCGGTACCCCTGCTGCTCCTGCCCAAAAAACATTAGAGGCGGGTGCCCGCACATTCGCCCGTGGCCTCCACCATTCATCCGTTTCGCCCCTCCGCTCCCTCTCTCTGCTCCTGTATCCTTCGGCGGAGGGGCCGCCGATTCCGCTTTGTGGGCGCAGTAGACATACATTACATTTGCTGGCGGTGGGAAGCCAAAGAAACGCTGAAGTGCTGGTGGTTGGAACGTTCGGAAACCATTGGGGACCCCCCCCCCCAAAAAAAGGCACGGCCGTCCGAAAGGAAACGCCCCGAGAGGGGGAAACTGGCAGAAGGGAAACGTCCGAAGGAGGGACCCGCATTCTCTGAGGAAGTTCCTCAGGTCGGCCGTACGAAACCAAAGAAACAAAAAGAAGCAAACAAAACTGAGAAACGAAACTGCTGGCGGCTGGAACTTCACGCAATTGGAAAACCGTCCGAAGGGGAACGTCCAGGGGGGTGGGAGGGCGGATTCCCTGTAGAAGCCTTGTTTTGTTGTTTCACTACCAAAAGTTACTATGTGTTGATCCCACGAATTTTCCCATGTTTGCAAAGATTTGTGTTTCCCCATGGTTTTTCCAAAATTGTCAGTCTACAGCGTTTCAGTTGTTTGGTTGTATGTATTATGTTTTGTTGTTCCTGAAAGTGATCACAAAGTTCTGGCATTCCTCCTCGTCCCCGCCTCGGCGGGCACCCAGCCACATGATCGCGCAGATCTGCCCTTGCAGCCCTGGTGGGCGCGCAGTGATCGAACAAAAGGGTTCGGACCAGGGAAAACTAAGGAATACGATGCGCGACCAAGGAATCATTAATAGGGGTTCCCTGGCAAGAATTCGTCATGAAGTTTCTGAGGACCACTTACGAGGGATTTCGTTACTAAGGACACCTGACTAACCGTTCCTTCCTACGGATACCTTACTAAGGATCCCCTAGTTTGGACTCCTGGGTAAAGGCTCCTTTTTCCACGAGCACTTTTATGTGATAGGTTCCATTTCTAGGGATCCCTTTTTATGTGAGATTCCTTACTACAGATTCCTGAGCACGGACTCCATACTAAAGGCAACCAGGGTTCACTACCAAGGATTCCTTAGTAAGGGTTCCCTAGAAAGGAACCCTTACTCTGGGCTCCCAACTGAAGCAGTCTGTAGAAAAGATCCCGCATTAAGAATACCTCCGGACGGATTCTGCACGAAGAATTCCTATGACGGATCCGTGGTTACGGCATCCTTAACAAACATCAATTTTTCCCCCAATCAGAATTTGTCTCTGTAGGGTCCAAGCGGATTTATCTGGTTAGGTGAACTTTGCCACCGATTTCCGCGGCCCGCCCGGGTGCCCAGGTGCCTCATAGCCCTATAGCCCTATAGCCCTATAGCCTTATAGCCCTGTAGCCCTGTAGCCCTAGAGCCCTAGAGCCCTATGGCCCTATAGCCCCATAGCCCAATAGCCCCATAGCACTATAGTTCTAAAAAATGATTGTTTTTTTCTCCAGTACCATGTTTAATAATTCCTTACTATGGATCCGTCACGAAATGTTCCGTACTCGGGATTCCACGATAAGGATTCCGCACGAAGGGTTCCCTAAGACTGATTTACTATCTAGGACTCCTTAGTAAGCATTCCTCCGTAATGGAACCTTACTCACGGTTCCCGACTGAGGATACCTCAGTGAAGACTTCTGGATAAATGATCATGTCTAAGGGTTCCTTACTAAACAATTCAGATGATGAGCGAAGTTAACACGAGAAGCAAGGGCATCAGCATGCCCGCGCGCCAAAATTTCGAATATCTATATACATACACATATATGTATATATATATACACATATAGATACACACGTATATATACACATACATACATATAAACAAACATGTATGACTGGGCGCGGGGGCGGAGCACGCGCGAGCAGTCGGATATCTTTCCCTGTGGGCATTGCTCTTTGCGATGAGACGGACGCCTGGGACCGCCGCCGCGCTCGCATGCCTCCTGCTCAGAACTCAGCAAGTCGCACCAAACAGGGCGCGTGGGGCGACAGGCTGGGGAGCGCACTCCTGGCGCTGAGATGTCTCCGCGAGCTGTCTCCGGAATCTGCCGACGCTAGAAGATTGAGCGGCGAGCCTGGTTGGAAGAGAATGGGCAACAGCGACTGCCGCGCGCGCAGCGATCCAGGCCAGCATCTGCTCGACCCCCTCGCCCCGCCCCACCCATTCACCGCAGGCGTTCACATGACTGGGGGCGGGGGCCGAGTCTGCGCAAGCAGTCGGATATCTTGCCCCACGACCATCGCACTTTTCGATGAGATGGGCGCGCGGGATCGCCGCCGCGCCCACGCGCCCCCCGCCCGGGACCCTCCAAGTCGCACCACACAGGGCGAGCGGGGCGAGCGGCAACGGGGCGCGATCCCGGCGCCGAGACGTCTCCAAGCCACCCTCAAACTGGCCCAAGCCGAACTCCGCTCGGGCCCGAGCGACAACGCAGCAACTTTGCGCAGGCGCCTCCAGGTCGCGCGAGCCAGAAATCCGTTGCGGCGAAATCCAGAATCTGCCGCTCGGGGGCAGGTGAGCGGCAGATGGGGCCGCCCCTGCCCTAGCCGGCCGACGTCCACAATGCAATCTCCTCCACGCGCCTGCTCGATCGACCCCGGGAACGCGCGCATCAAGACTGGCCCAGCGTTCAGGGAGCGGCCGGACTCCGACGCGGCGCTCGGGGACGCCGCGGCGGGCAGTGTTGCACTGCCAACGCCTGCCGAGCTGGACGCGGACGCGGCGCTCGAACGTCGCGCCAGACACCGCGGCACGTCTTGACTGCGCAGTGCTGGGCGCCAGAGCGGTGCTCGAGCACGTCGATGCGCACGCCGCTGTTGCGCTTGACTCCGTAGAGCTGAGCACAGACGCGGTGCTCGGCTCGGCCACGTAGAACTGAACAGCGACGCGGCGACCGTGGCCACCGCGGCGGGCGCCGCGGCGAGAGGGCGCCGAAGCGGTGCTCGAGCGCGCCGCGGTGGATAACGTCGCACTGCCTGCACCTGCAGCGCTGGACACCGACGCAGCCCACCTCGCGCAGGACTCCGCGATGCGCCTCGACTCCGCAGAGCCGGAAACCCACGCGCACTCATTGCGGCGTGCGCGCGACGAGAGCGAGTCGATATAGTAGGCCCAGGCGCCCCAAGCCGGAGCCGCGCAACCATCCTACGAGGGCATGCCGATGACGGCCATCATGGCCAGGCGGCCACTGGCCGGCCCCCCAGATTCGGGAGCCAGCCCGGGCTGAACCAGCCGATGCTCTTGCAGCTCAGGAGGCCGGCGCCGAAGTTCCTGGGCGCACCATCGACTTGGTCCTTGTCGACGTGGACATCCGTCACACCAGCGCAGGGGTAATCTGCAGCCAGCCATGCGCGGAGGCCTTCAACCGAGCGCCGAGGCCGCCGGACACATCGCCAATCTCGACGCCGCAGGATCGGGACAGGAAGCCGGGCAGCTTCAAGCGCTCAGGCACCACGTAGCCGATCGCAGCAAACATCAATCCACCCCGCTGGAGCGCGACGTTGAAGGCACTGCAGTCGGCGGAGAGGCCGAGCTGATTCCGGTTGCCAACGGGCTTCTCGCACCCCAGTCTTGCTCTCGAAGGCGCGCCGCGGCGAGTCCGCGCAGTCGGCCCAGTTGCCCCGCGCGGACCGGGCGACGCCGCCCTGGCAGGGCACGCAGTACTGGGCGGGTGCCGCACGCCATGAGAGGGACAGAAGACGTCCCAAATAGCGTGTTAAACACAGGATCTTACTAACAAACACAACCCGTCGGAGTCCACCTTGCAGAAATGCAAATCGCAAATGGCGCGGGCGCGGATGTCGAGGGCAGAGCAGCAGGAATCTACAACGGCGAGGGGCTCCTTTCAAGAGGCGCACGCGCTCTCGCCTCTAAAGTTTCCCCCTAGGTCTGCCCAGACCAAAAGTCGCGCTACCCGACGAGGAGCGCCGCGCCAGACTGTGCAAAATTGCGCCGGCGGTAACATGCGCGAGGACTGCGCAATGCCTCAATGAGCGCAACACGGCAGGGATGGCAGCGCGAAGTACAGCGCCAAGAACAGCACGCAGAGGGCCACTGCTCCCAATGAGCGGGTTAGACGCATGCAACTGACCTGACTGATGGGGGCCCAAGGGAAGCTAAAGTCAACGGGCACTCTCACGCTTCGCGGCAGCTACTCGCCGACGCCCCCCGGAAGAGCCCACGCAGCGCAGAACCCCTCCGAGCGCGGACAAGCCCTCCACTCGAGCATCGTCGCGCCGACACATTTCCCCATCAGCCAGGGTCGAAGTGGTGCCCGGGGCCCACCTATATGGCGCGGCAAAGCCGTCCAGTCAGCTAGGGGCAAGCGATTCCGAAGCTTATTGGGGCGTCGCAACAGAGGACAGCCCCCATTCCACCGGGCCCCTTTCTCGCAATGGCACCCACTGGCATGGGCCGAGGCGGGGCCGAAGAGGACCGGCGCCGCCCCCAAGGATCCGGCGGGCGAGGGCCAACGCGCGCGACGCCCAGCGAGCCCCAGTCGCCTGCGCCCAAGACGCTGTCTGCACCTCTGCAAGATCTCTCGCACACACACACACACACACACACACTGAACGCGGGCGCCCGCCCGGGGGGGCAGGCCAGAGAACGGAGGACAAGGTAGTCCTGCCTGCGCGCGTGGGCCGCGGATCAGCTCGGCCGCAGGGCAGGCCCGCCACCGGGGCTGGACGGCGCCTCCACCCGCAGAATTGCAGCGACACCCAAGAAGAATACCAACGCTTAGCCGCAAGACTGCGAGTGGCACTCTGCGACTCTACCTCGGCGCGTCATCAGCACAGCGCGCAGGAGCGGTCTTCTCCGACTCGCTCGGGGGAACTGCCCTCGGAGTGGCAAGGCGCGGCGGCAATCGCCATCGCGGCCAGGCGCCCCCTCGCGATCTACGCCGAAAGCCTCGCAGAGCGCAACGCACGCGATGATCTGAGAGCCGCCAAGCGCAGGCACCGCGAAGAACGCTTTCAGGCCGTCGGGAGCGCCCGCCAACTTGACCCCGTGGAGGGGGGCAGGTGGCCGGGCCACCTGATCCCCAGCTCGAGCGCGATATAGCCAATTGTGGCTAGCATCAATACGCGCCCGCGGCGCTCGACGGCAGCCTTGACACCGTCCGCGGCGCAGCAGGGAGCTCCTGAAGCCGAGCTCGTTCTTGAAAGCGCGCAGCGGCGAGTGCGCGCCGTCGGCCCAGTTGCCCCGGCGGAGCCAGCGAGGCCGCCCTGGTAGCACATGCCGATGACGGCCATCATGGTCAATCATCCGCCGGCGGCCTTCGAATTCCGGCCGCGGGCTCTTTTTTCGCAGAGATGGACACGGGGCCGAAGACGATGGCGCAGAAGGAGAGAGCAGGAATGAATTGGAGGAGGAGGAGGAGGAGGAGGAGGCGGAGGACGGGAGGGAGGAGGAGGGGGAGGGGGAGGGGGGCAAGCTAGGTGCGCTCGCGTCATATCTGACATCCTACCCCTCCCTCCCATCCCCCACCATGGCGCAGATCCCCTCTCTACTCGCACAGTCGGATGTCGAGCAGGGCAATGATCCCGAAAGGGCACGCGATGCATTGTAGAGCACGGCATGGCATGGCGCAGAAGAACACCGCAAAGCGTAGCATCAACCTAGCATTGCATTGCATGCCGTGGCATGGCAGGGGAGATGACGCCAGGGCTGCAGCGGGAGCACGAGTCGAAACGAGCGGAAGCGCGGAAATGGGGCCAGCGCTGCAGCTGGAGCACGATTCGGAACGAGCGGAAGCACGGAAATAAGGCCAGTGCTGCAGCGGGAGCACGATTCGGAACGAGCGGGGCCCGAAAATGAGGCCGGCGCCTCAGTAAGAGCAGCATTTTGACAAAAAACTGCAGGCGAAAACCCAACTCTGGGGAAACCTGCGTGCAAAAAAAAACAATACGCGGGGGGGGGTCGGACACTTTCAAACCGTCATCGGCATCGGGGAAGGGGGAGCGTAGTATTCATATTGAATAATTGTGGAGGGGGGGGGGGGGGCAAGCCAACACCAGTTGCCTGGCTCGCCCACCTGCGTCGCGCAGGTCACCCCCCCCAGCGCGCCAGCACGGGGCCAGGGCGGCATCACCGCGATCATCGGAGGCGGCGCCAGCCAGCGCGTCAGGCAGGGCCCTAGCAGCGACAGAGCGGCCGCGGCCACGCGGGCGCCCCCGAGCATCGCGCCGCGCCATCCCTGCCGAAGCCAGCCGCAGATCGACCGCGGGAAACCTCCCGAGCGCCCCGCCGGCAACAAAGGCCCCGCCGAGGCTCCGCCTTGGCCTGCGACGGCGAGGGTGGACGGCGGACCCAGCGAAGGATCGCTGCCGGCGCGGCCATCGGCTCCTCGCGCGCAGGGCCCCTCAGTCAGCGCCCTCCTATAGCTTTCTGTCCGGCGGGCGCTGACCGAGCGCCCATTGCGCCGACGCGCCGTGCCCAGGTCAGGCCACCTGCACCGAATAGGGGGGGGGGGGACGGCCCCCACGACCCCGGCCAGCACACGGGAGTGTGCGGCAGCGGGATGGTGGGGGGGCGTTGCCTCCGCGAACGTCATTGGCAACGCTCACCTCAGACCAGGAGGTGCCACTGACCACTCTGCATACCCTAGCGGAGCGGGTGGGCCCAGGCAGCACGGCTTGCCCACCGTGGCGGGCACTCTGAAAATTCCCCGGCCTGACGGCTGTCAGTCAGCGCCCTCCACAGGCGGCCCACCGAACTCCCCGGCCGCCTTGCCAGCGGCCTCGGCCCACGCGGCTGACCAAAGGCAGCTGCCGCTGCTGCGTGGCCAGGCGGTGCCGGCCGGCTCCGCGCCCAACTCGCGCGCCAGAACCCTCGGGGCACAAGGGCGCGGTCGCCTTCCAACACAGGTCGCCTGAAGGGGCAGCACCCTTGTAGGTGCCGAACTCCCGGTAGCCCGCGAAGAGCACGACAGGCCGCCAACTGGCCAGAAGCACCTTCGACAGGGCGCCCAATCAGATGGAGACGCCCGAGAACTTCAAACCTGCAGATGGGGGCAAGCACCAGGGCCACTTGAACTACTCTGTCAAAGCGGTCAGCAGCGGCCCTCCACGAGCTCGCTGCATCGCCTGCCTCACCAGCCCTTCCGCACAAGGCCCCGACGCCGGTCTCCACGAACGAAGCTCCCAGGGTAGGACAGGAGCGACGAATGCGTCGCGGCAGCGCTGCGCTACTGCGCGCTTTCTTAGAACTCGACGCCAAGCGCGATCATCGAGTGCGTCGCGGCGGACACCGCGGCGCTGCTCCACCTCGCGCATCCCCAGGGCGAAATGTTTTTCCTCTTGGGCCAGGAGCGAATGTTTGAAGTCTGGAGCAGACGGGCATGAGATACACGTAGCTTGCGCGGCGGATCCGATGTCTGCCCTGTTTGAAATTCATTATACAAATTAAAACAGGGGACCGAAAGAAATCGGATCCGCGGACCCCACAAACCGGCCGAGTTAAGCTTCTACGGGGGGGGTCGGTAATCAACTTTCCACGGTGGGCCCTGCGTCGTCTCGCGCACTCCCATCAACTCCCCGAGCGAGCGGGCCGCATTCAACATGAATACATACATCCCTCCCCCCCCGGTTGCTGCAAACAGCTCGTCCGGTCGCCGTCCGTTCGGCGGCGCCGACGTTGTCTCGCGAACTCCTCGTGGCCATTTTCACCTAGGCGGGTTCGGTTATCAACTTTCCACGATGGGCCCTGCGTCGTCTCGCGCACTCCCATCAACTCCCCGCGCGAGCGGGCCCCATTTCACATGAATACATACATCCCTCCCCCCCCCCCCGGTTGCTGCAAACAGCTCATCCGGCCGCCGTCCGTCTGGCGGCGCCGACGTTGTCTCGCGAACTGTTCATGGCCATTTTCACCTCAAGAAAATTATCCCGGCAAAAAACAACCTAACAGCGATGTGTAGGAGCATATCTGGAAGCATTCCCTTTAAGATTCAGATGAGAATCCAATTGTAGAATTCTGCTGTTCTCGCAGTCGTAGTCGCATTCGCGATGACAGTCGCAGCGGCAACGGCAGTCGCAGTCACAGCCTCAGCCT